ACTTTTTAATTTTTAAGCATTTATAAATTTATGCATTTATATATTTATATATTTTTTTACTTTTATTCATAGAATATGCTGGTAATAATATTTTATGGAAAAATATGAGAATTATAACTTTATATTCTTTTTAAAGTTTCAGATCAATTATTATGCTTTTTTAATAATTTCATCAATTATTTTATTATATATTATATTATATAACATTATAATTTTAATATATTACATTATCATAAATTTATTGTATTCTATACTTATTATTTTATCATAATATAATATAATAAAATTTTTGTTTAATATGTAAATATTATCGTATGTATTATAGATTAAATGCAACGAAGAAGTGACGCGTCGTATTAATGATCCAAATGCTACGACTGGATTTGCTGGTACAGTAGAATTGTGCTTCGCTACTGGTCCTCTTTCACTCCGAAAATACTCTGTGTTTATGAGGTAGATATATGTATAATAAGAAAAACGTGTTCTGATACTAAATTAAATTCTTATTTCGAATCAGTTATTCAATAATAAATTGAATATTTTATTTTAAATTTTTAATATTTTTAAATTTTTCATTTTCTTTAAATTTAAAAAAATTTAATTTTAACGTGTCTTATTCTCATCTCTCTCGTTTTTCTTTATGATTTATATCATCTTATGTTACTTTGTTTCAGAAAATTGGTTAATATATTTTTATGTATCACACAACTTGGATTTTGCTGTGTATATTTTGTTTTCATTGCGAAGAATATGAAACTGGTAAGTTTTCAATGTTTAATTTTGCTTTTATAATTTTTATTGAGAAACTAAATTCAAAATTTTAACCATTTAAATATTGAACACTCTAATTATAAATTTTTAAAATAAAATTTAAACTAAATTAACTTACTTTATTATTCAAAATATACAATACTATAAAATATATATATATATATATATACTATAAAATATACTATATACAAAAATTAGTTGAAAAAAAAAATTTTTTTTATATAAAACTTTATTTTCAAAAAAATCTAGTTTGAAATTTCTTCAAATATACATATATATACATATGTGTATATACATATAAATCAATTAATTTGTACTCTAACATTAATACAAGTTCTTCAATATTGATATATATATTTTGGATTAATATTTCGATTTCTCTAAAAATAAAATCTTAAAAGAAGAAAATTTTATTTTATATTTACTTTTGCATATTTGTTTTTGTTTTTTGTAATTCATTTTAAAATATATGCATTTTTAATTTGTATATCGATGAAATTCACTAGAGTAAAAGAGCGAATTAAAAATGTAATATTTCTATTAATAAATCTATTTATTATATTTAGTATATTGCATTTAACTTTTGTTAAACTAATTTTTTTTTTATAGGTGATGGACGTGTACGGAATTGAGATGGATGTTCACCAACACATGGCTGTCATCTTGATTCCTATAATGCTGAGCACGTGGATCAGAAATCTAAAATACCTAGTGCCTGTCTCTTCGATGGCGAATTTTCTGGTTATAGCTGGCTATGTCGCCACTATGTACATAATGTGCAACGATCTACCATCGATTCATGAGAGGCGATATATCGCTGATTGGCATGATTTGCCTTTGTTTTTTGGCACTGTGATATATTCTTTCGAGGGTATCACTTTGGTAAGCTGCCTTTATATATTCCTTATTTATATAACGCATTATAAATTTGGCAACAAATCGTTTTATCTATATTGTTGCCCTTTCTATTAAAAAATAAACTTAAAAAATGCTATGCTCATTTTGAAATTCACATTAATTCAGATTAATGAATTATGAATTATGAATTATCTTCTATAATATATATTTTTTGCGATAAGAGAGATTAAAAAAAAGTCAATTGTAGAATACTTATAAGTTTATTAAATTATTAGAAAATTTATATATCAAATTTTTAATAATTGATGATGAATTTCATCATAATAAAAAATAAATTTTTTATTGTGGCAAAACTTGAATTCGAATTATTTATTCTATATTCTTGTTAAATGTTGAATACTATTAAATAATAAGTTGTAAAATGACTTGATCAAAAGTAACAATAAAAAAGAATATTTAATAAAGAAAAGAGGAATAAACTATATTAAACTATATTAAACTATATTATATAGATATGGATCGTACTGATATCTTTGTTCTATTATGCTGAACTCATTATGTCGCACAGTAGTTCAAAAAGGGAAACAGACAAAACAAAATCACGTCCAGTGACACTTAATTCACACATAATACACAATATATATATAATACAAAATATATGACTCGCATCTTTACATATATAAACTCACATTCCCACTCGACGAATATCTTTATAAAATTATATCTTTATAAAATTATATAATTATATAAAATTATATCATGTCAAAACATTTATATTTTTAATACTATTCTGAGATAAAAAGATAAACTTTGAAATTTTTGCTTCAGGAATATTTTTTTTTAATGAAGGAATGATTCAACTTTTTGTTTCATCAGTAATCTTAGTGAACTCAACATTAGGATCAGCAGGCATTACAATTGAAAAACAGTCTATATAATTAAATTTATTTAATATTTTTTTTGCTTTAAACTTTTTGAAACATTTTCAGAATTCATAATTTTCTATTTCTTTATATTTGCATTCCAACAAAATATTCAGCCTCCGAATATTTTATTTTGTACACTCGATTGAGATTAAAAAATAAATCATTCATTTTTAAACGATTATTACAACAAATTATCATCAACATACATATGTAATTAACGTTTCTGAAATCAAATAATATATACATATAATATCATTTTTAAAAAATCAAACTATATTCATACATAAATTTATTGATTCTTTTATTCCATTGCCTTGATGCTTATTTTAATCCATACAAACTTTTTTGTAATAAACACACACATCATCTAATTTAAAACAAGTTGATTGTTCCATGTAAATAAGTCTTTTAAATCATTATACAGAAATACAGTCTTCACATCGAATTGTATCAATTCCAGATTCATTATAATAGCAATCGACATCAGTATTCATATTTCACGACGGAGAGAACGTTTCTTTGTAATCAATGCCATCTTTTTGTACATAGTCTCTTACAAAATTGGCTTTATAATTATAAATTGTTTCATTCGTTTTTTTTGAAAATCCAGCGATTTAAAATAATATTAATATTACTTAGTCTTGGAACTAAAACCCATGTTTTATTTTCTTCAAGAGATTCAAGTTCTTCGTTGATTGCTTCTATCCATTTATTCAAATCTTCTGTTTCTAATGCTTTTTGAATAGTTTGTGATTCATAAGCAGCAAAAAATATTTCAATCACTTTAAAATGGGCTTCTATTAACATTGAATATCTTTCACGAAACAAATAAAGATCTCATTGAATCAACTGTCGAAAATTTTTTCTTTTCTTTAATAGCTATATCGATTCATTCTTATCGATTTTATCCGTTTTCATATTTATTTTATTTGTCTTGATATCAATGAACTCAATTATCTCATTTAGATTTTTCGTTGAAAATAATATTTTCGAATGTAACATTTCTTCGCAATAAGATCAAATAAACAATAATTTATTATTTATTTATTCGCTATAATCTATTATCAAATATTTTTCTGAATTTATCTCCTATTTACTCCTTTGATCTTTCGATATATAAGCATAACAATCATTTCCGAAAATTTGTAAATGAACTACAGATACCTTTTCGCCATATCATTTTTCATACGGTATTGATTCTTCCAAGATTTCTGTAATTGTTCAATTTTAATGTAAATAGCTATAGTTCGCCACAGTCCATAAATATAGCAGTGATTTCTTTGCATGCAACATATACTTTTGATTCAATATTTTGAATTTTGCTGATTTAATAATTGTTCTATTTTATCTTTCAATAAATCTGTTTTGTTCCACACGTTATTGTTTGTTATTTAATGTTGTTTTTTGAAAATAAATAATTTTTGACCTTTCTATTATAAAATTTTTTGCCACAATTAGTTCTCAGTATTTATTTTTATGTTCATCTGTTTATACTTCATAAAACTATTTCAAATAATTGAGAACTTCTATTTTCTTTTTCAAGAAATAAACATAACAATATTTTGAATATTCATCCTTTAATAATAATACGATTCTTCAATAAATGATTGGCATAGATCAACATGAAATATTTCTGTATGCTTAATCCTTACAGATTATTCTTTCAAAAAAGTTCTTCGATGCTACATATATACATTCTTCACAATAAATATCACTTTCTATTACTATTACTACTTATTACTATCTATTACACTATCGATTTTCAAATCATGCACACTTGAATTTATTATTATATGTCGCAATGTTTTAAAATTTACGTGTCCTAATCTTTCATGCCATTGTTCCGGTATAATACTCATTAACATATTTGTTTCTGTTACCAGCATATTCAGTATCAACGTAAAATTTAATTTATATAATTTGTTATTAAGATTATTTGCCTTAATAATTAATTTATTGTTCTTATAGAAATATACATTTTATCCATCATCTTCAAAAATAACTCTCATTTCTTTTTCTGAAGCATATTCGATTGACAACAAATTCTTCTTTAATTGCAATATATATAATACTTCACTGATTATGTGATACATATACGTTCCGTTAGCATTTATCTTATCACTTTACATACATGTCTTTTTTGCCTTTAACACATAATGTATCGTCCACGTGTATGTATTTTCTATATATATTTTCATGTTTTTGAATCATTCTTTTCAAAAAAAAAACGTGTTCTGTCGTATTAGAATCGGAAAACCATGTATCTTTATCTTTTTGTGGAACATTCTCTAATTAAATAATTCAGAATAAAAATATTTAATATTTTTATTTTCTTTTTCATTCTTTTGAGCTACCAAGGTTTGTCCTTTCATATGTGATTTTTTCAATGTACAATCACGAGCCCAATGTCCGGATTTTCTGCAGAAATGAGATTTATTATTTTTTTTTTATATTTGTATCAAGACCACAAGAATCACGAGAATTACGGGAAATACGAAGATCACAGCGAATATGGTTCTTTTTATGTCCTCTCATAGTAGAATCAATATAATATTCTTCTCAGGATATTTGTATATTTCGCATTTTTAACAACATTTCTTCATTTATTAAGTAATCTATTAATGACTCAATTGTCTGTTCCGTTTGTGATATAGCATACCTGGCTACAAATATTATCATATTTTGTTCTTAAACTTGATAAAAAAAAATTTTTTTGCAATAATAATAGAATCTTTTTTTTTTTATTCCATATTTATGTTTTCCAATCCTTATGCCAGCGAAATTATTTTCAAAATGCGATGGATTCTTTCTAGATCTATTTTTGTATTTATAAATTGATCCAAAAGTACTTACACTGATTGATCATTTTTCTCAACGTATGATTTGCAATTGTGCAATTCACATTTGTGCAACAATAGAACATCTGATAAATGTTTTAATTAAAATTTCTTATCAAAAATGCTTGAGCTTCAGCATCTTTTTGAATCCACGATATCTGCTTATTTTCAGATCTGGAAGTCGAACTATCGATATACATTTTTATATATAGTTTATTCTTCATCATATAAATTTGCATTTATTGTTTTTATAGCTGATAGTTTTGTCCATTGAAATTATGAAAATGATACAGTTTTGCTTCAACTACTTTTATTTTATTTTTAATTTTAATTTTTAACAGATACAAAACTTTCATATTGAATTACAAAACTTTATAGCAATATACTTCTTCAGTATCAAATCACTCACCACACAATAACGGAAGACAATAAGCCCATAACCTATTAGGGGATAAGTTGTGAAATGATTTAACCAAAAATAATAGTAAGAAAGAATATATTTAAAAAAGGAAATAAAAATAAATTATATAATATAAATGGGTCGTGCCGATGTCTTTGTTCTACTGTCTGAACTCACTATGTCGCGTCACACAATTCAAAAAAGGAAACAGCAAAATAATCGAAACAACGATCGCGTTCAGTGACACTCAATTCACACATAAATACATAAGATATGAATCGCATTTATATATAAAATCAATGAATACAAAATTTGATATTAATTGTTAATATCAAATATAATTGCAATTAAAAAATATTTAGAATTGGTAAATATAAAGATATCACTTTTTAAGAAGAAATTAGTATTGAAATAAAAAATAATCTATTATATTTATATCTTACTTTTGTTACTTTTTGTTAAATTTATTTAATAGAATATTGAAAGATGAAATACATTAAAAATATATAAAAAAACAAAAATAATTATAAATTATTATTATAAATATAAATTATTTAATAAAGTATTAATTCAATAAAAACATTATAAACATATTCTATAAGTTTCTATATATAGTATTATAATGTATAAAGTATTTTATACATTATATTTTATATTTATCTTTTAAAATTTTTCAAAAATTAATTAATTTTTTTTCTTAATGTAATGTAAATTATATACATATATTTTCCAATAAAATATTTTATAAAAGTATAATAATATTTTCATATTTTAATTAAAAATGAATAAAATATGTTGAAATTTAATTCTTGATATTGATTTAATATTCTTTTAGTATAATATCAATTGTTTTTTATTAATAGATCTTTTTTATATTTCAGGTTTTACCTCTGAAAAATGAAATGAAGAAACCGAGCAATTTCAGTAAACCATTCGGAGTTTTAAATGTTGGAATGGTGATTGTTGGTGGAATGTTCGTCGCGATGGGTTTTATATCTTATTTAAAATATGGTGATGCAGTAGCTGGATCCGTAACGTTAAATCTTGAATCTAAGGAAGTGTAAGTATAGAATTTACTTTTGTAAATCAAAATCTCATTATTATATAAAGTTAAAAATCTCTTATTTCAGTATGTATTATGTATATTAGTATATATTATTTATATTAATTATTTTTTAAATTATAATTTGTTAATATTTAATATTATAAAAATATAAAATTTATTTTCTTTTTTTATTGATGAATTTTATATTATAAAATTTTATAAAAACTAATTGTAACTTTTTTATTAAAATAAGAATCAGGAGATAGAAAAACTCCTTTTATTTATATTTATTTATTTTGTACTATATAATTTGGTACTATATAATTTATTTTGATTCAATTTTTCAAAATGATTTAAAATATTAAATTCCATTAAGTTCCATATAAAATATTTCATTTTTTTTTAATGAAGAAATATTTGTATGATTTCGTATGAAAGGCATTATTATCTTTTACCATGAAAATTAATACATTGCAATGATTTTTCATTTATAGTTTCACTTATATTATTTATTAAAGTGGAAGGAATACATTCGGATGATTGTATAAAAAAAAACATATTTATCATTTATTATGAAAACATACTATATATGTATATGAATAATTTATAAACAATAGTTTATTTTGTTTTTTAATGACATAAATCAAAGTTGAACAATTTTTTTGAATGAATCAATGAAATCTAACGTAATTAGAATTTGATTTTGATCTAATGATAACAAATATACATATATAATATATTAATTTTCATTACAGAAATTTAAATGTTATCTTTTTTTTTAACAAAATAGAGTTTTTACAAACGTTCTAATATTTTTTAAAAGAAATAAATTATTTCTAATAGCAAAGATAAAATATATTCTTCGTAAGAAATTAATTCTTTTTCTTGAATAATCGAAATATTTTTTATATCGAAATATTTTTCGTAAGATAAATGAAATATTACTTTTTCATTATATATATTATTATATTATAAAAAATTACAACAGAAAATGATATCTATATATAATATAATATAATATAATATTTATAAAATATAATAATTAATAATAGTATTTAATTATATAATAATTAAATATAAAAATAATTATTGTAACAAATATATTTGTTCTATATTGATTTAATAATAAATTATAATACATTTAAATATGCGCTACATTAATAATAATTAAAATTCTATCATGCAAAATGATAGAAAAATAACAAAATAAAAAAGAAAATACATATTTTATTACAGAAATATTTTATTATGTAATTTTCTGTTGCATACAAAGGATGGATGGAAAAATCATCATCAAGCATTCAAGGTTTCTATCATAGGTTATTTAGAAGTATTACGTTCTTTTATAAAATATTTTGTGTAATATTGTAACGTGCTTTTTTATTTATTCTATTAGCATTTAATAATAATAAGTTACTTAATAAACTATTGTACTCTGTATGCCAAAATTTGCATGCTTTAGATAGATTTAATACTGAATAATTTTTGATGAAATAATTGTGATGAAAAGTTAAAGTGAATAGAATTTTATGGTTTTTTGACAGAAAATAATCGAAGAAAATATTATTTAAATATTCATAAGATATTATTATTATTTTTTTACAGTTTACCTCAGTGTATACAAGTTGCCATTTCATTGAGTATCTTACTCACATATGCATTGCAATTCTACGTTCCCATTGCGATTATATGGCCGAAAATTGTGAATCGTTTTGGTCCTTTTAACTGGCCTGTTCTGTCAGAAACTATTTTTCGTTCTACAATGTGTTTATTAACATGTAAGTTTAATATTTAAATTTTATATCTATCAAGTTAAAATTTGAATATGAATATTTTTAATTTTGTAAAACTTTAAAACTCATTTTCTTTCTATTATTAAGAATCACATTCTTTATTTTCTTTAAAGATAAATTTTATCTTCATTTTTAATATTTTAAACTATTAATAATAAAATTATATTAATATTTTAAACTATTGAAATTCTCTTGATTATTGCTTATTATTATGATTATCGCGAATAAAAAAATTAAAAAATATATAAAAAAGTATATAAAAAAAATAAAAATATATATATGAAAAGAATTGTTTGTCTAAAGAAAGAAAAAATTATCAAGAATTTATTCCATCTATAGAATTATAAAGAAGTTTCTGCATAAGACAAATTGGCCACAATTTAATATTTGAGATAATAAGCAGAGATATAGAATATTAATGAAAAGTTTTACCATTAAAGGAATCCATCAATGGGTGTCTGAAGTATTTTTTTTTAAATATTATAGCCATTTTTGTGGAAAAATTCATATAAAAAAAAATATACTTTTTAAATTAAGATTATAATATAATAATATTATTTACATATTTATTTATATAAAACTTAATAAGGAGATTAGAAAAAAAATAATAATTATTTAGAATCATAGTTATCTTACTGATTTCGATAATTTTTAAATATATTGTTGATTTCTTTTAATAATTCTATCAATTGATTCTTCCAATATTCTTTTCTTTATATATTATTATCTCTCGGCCTTAGTTTTCGAGATATTTATAAAAAAAGATTACTATGAATATCGTTTGTATGTATACATCTATGATAAAATATGCGCTAGTATGCTAATGTTTATCAATTGTTTATATAAATACTTTGTATAATATGTATAATAGGATATATAAAATATCATAAATCGGCTATTATTAAAAATATATTACAATGGATGAGCTAATATCATTATATTTTATCACTATTGGATAATTCACAGATTTTTTAGATCTAGAATGATCAAAGAAATAATAATATTGATATTAATCATATATTTAGTATTTATTATCATAATTTTAGTGTTTATTGGTTAGAAATAATTTAAACATGAATTAGAAAATTGAAATTATAGAAAAAATTTATATTTCGTGACAAAATTATAAGATAACTTATAATTTTTAGTGTTTCTCTAATGTACTCAAATATATATA